ACGCCAACAAAAAAGCTTATAATAGCTATTGTATAATAGCTTTCCATATTTTTAATATACTTAAATAAAATAAACCAGGGCCATAAATAAACCATTATCGGGTCATCATTTCTCTTGGAAACATCTCGTAGATTTCTCATAGGAATCAAAATGCATTCCATACATTCATTTATGGTTATCAATTTGTATCTACTATAAGCGCACATTTCGAGAAATGTTAAACTGCTTCAGTCTGTTATACAAAAATCACACTGGGAGATTAATAAGCTACAGAGGCAAGTCGACACGGACGATGACATCGTAGTGTCTGAATGAAACAAAAAGAGCGAAACTACGGCCGGATTGCTTCCTATAACGAGACCACGTGTCCTTCCAAACAACGCCAGTCGCCTCCCCACTCGGTCCTCCCGTGATCAAAAACACAATATCAAAGGCATACATACACGTTTGACGTTCAGAATAATACCTTAAAAAAGGTTTGTGGAAGGTAAAATCATAAACTTAAGAAGGCACTGTATGATCTAAAGTTATTAGATAATATTAGGTAATTTAATTGTTTGCTGGCGTACATCATCTAAACATATTTTTATACATGCATGGTTAGATTAAGATTAGTGTTTGTTTAAAAATCAATAGGTATACAGCATAAAGCCAACGGTTGGACAGTTTTGATAGTTTTTTTTATATTTTCTCATAGATCACAATTCTGAAATCCTAAATATTTTTCATTCTAGAGTCAAACTCCCATATTAATAAATGAGGAATAAGCTTAAACTAGTAACGTCGTGTTTTGTTCATATCACCAAAGTGCCATTTGTCATTTAATGAACAGAGACAAAACATAGAGTACGAAATCCAAGCTTAGTCTTCGTTTATTAATAAGGGGATAAGATATTAACGGGATTGTTACCATGTACCTTGTTTTTTATGAGTTTCCGTTATTTCGCCACTGTTGCAAGCGCCATGACCAGGGGTATCGAACGCAGTAAAAGACGACGTGAGAGGGTAGACCGATATGTTTGCCAATAACATCTATCCGCAATTACTTCAGTTACTCCATGATCATGGCGCTTGCAACAGTGCCGAAATATCGGAAACTCATATACATGGTAACAATACCGTTAATATCTATAATGTTACTGACCATGAAAGTTTAAAACAATATAAGGGGATAAGAGTCTAGATGGGTGTTAGTGAAAATGATTTCATCTGCTTCATTGCTACTTATTACTCTCGATCTAGACTCTATCTAACTCAAGGAAGTATATTTATCAAAAACACAAAAGTTTATTATTCCAAGGTTGTTCCGCTGTTTGCTGTTTACATTTCGGTGGAATATTGTAAGTCTTCGCGCCTACAATGTCACTACTTACTTTTGGGAAGTTCTTTGCTTGTTGACAGTACATTATAATTTTTTTTGTACAGGTAAATTTTGATACCAACGAATGACGTACAATATATAGACAGGTTATACGCCTACATTATTGCATTTTAAAATGGCACAAGTAGTTCACGCCCCAACTTCCCTTGGCAACAGCCGCCAATAAAGCGCACTTAAGTAGTCTCTTTAACTTTCATGCATAAAGCAGATAACATCTCGCTCTATAGCCTCCACGTGTCATCGGTGTCAGCAACTGTCAAAATAAGTAATCGCAAAATATTTTTACATCAATTTCTTTAAAACTGTACTTACGATTGAAATGACACGGTTTTCTTGTCTATAATAGTTCCCGTGTAATTTGTGTACTATCCAAAAACACACGTAGGGCTTATTGTCTGGAAAAACGTAAAATATTTACACGTAGCAAAATGTAGCCACGGCGAGTAAGCGTGCCCGACTGAATGCAAATCGGGCAATTACCTGACTTTCGTATCGTATTGCCAAATTAGAAGCGTGTATGACGTATGTAAGTATAACATAAAACATCATTGCCGACGACATTGATACATACTTATTTTATCACCAAATAATAGCAAAAGTGAAATTACACATACTTATGTATAGTAAAGTGTTTGTAGGTTTAAATATATTATATGAATATAACTAATGCAGTAAGTAACTGCTATTGACTACAACTTCTACAGACCACCGTAGCTGAGTGGTTTATACGCCGGGTTTTAAGGTGCTACCTGGGTTAGAATCCCGGTGGAGGTAAATGTTTGTGTGATGAATACGAGCATTTGTACTACAGTCATGGATGTTTAATATGTATTTCTATATAAATATACTTATATATGTATGTATATGTATTCTATCCATTACCCTAGAATCCCAAAACCGAGGCATACAGTGCTTATATACTTTGGGCTGGGCTAATAGGTAATTGCTTCGAATAAGTAAGCTAAAAAACCTAATGACGTTGTAAGTAAAACAACAGGCCAAGTGTGAGTCAAACTCACATAGATATGCAGGTTTCCTCACCAAACAAGGTTTACATTTGAATTAAGGCTACTAATTTCTTACTTGGGATTACACGGAAGCTTACACACCCGTTAATTGTTTAAAGAGGAATCCATTTTTTTATAGGGTTCCGTACGCAAAGGATAATAACGGAACCCTATTGCTGTCAGTCTGTCGTCGTCTGTCTGTATATGACGGGTCTCTAGATCGTAAACGGAACACATTCCGTTAAAAAAAAAAGTTCTGGGTTTTTATTTAGAATGCTTGCCCATAGCCAGTTTATTTAGTTAGGTTTTTAACAGTGCGAGTCACAATAATGGTCTCGTCTTGGCTTCACTTTAAAAGAACATGTTTTAGTGGGATTAATAAATTCGTGTTGAAAACAGAAAAACCGACTTTATAAAAACAAAACCCACTAATAACCACCACCAATACCAATAGACTTTAAATTAACTTTCAATATAAATTATGAAAAAGTATATTTTTTTACTTTTTAGTGAATTTGTTTTTAAGAAGTCGGTTTTTTAAATAAATAATATTTTCCACAAGCCCAAGCAACGTCAAATAATTCCTCAAATAAGGGTCGTTTAAACGACAATTACACGATATATTTGTGAGTCAACCATAAAAGATAAACATATGCTGTTGCAGGATATTTTTTAGACAATTTTATGTAGAATATTTCCGTCATACATGATTTCTATGTAAATTTAATCATTAAGACTGCACCCGCGACGGAAGCTTAAAAAATGGAGTAACTTCTCCCGTTTTCCCAACATTTCCCTTCACTACTCTGCTGCTATTGATTGTAGCGTGATGAAAAGTATACTATAACCTGCCCAGGAGTATGAAGAATAATTGTACCAAGTTTCGTTAAAATCCGTCGAGTAGTTTTTGTTTCTATAAGGAACATACACACAGACAGACAGACAGACAGACAAAAATTTTACTGATTGTATTTTTGGCATCAGTATCGATCACTAATCACCCCCCGATAGTTATTTTTAAAATATATTTCATGTACAGAATTGGCATCTCTACAGATTTATTATAAGTATAGAAGATGTATGATATTTACAAGGGCGCGGTTATAGATTCAAGCATATGTGGCTTTTGACACATCTGCAAGTCCGCGAAACAGCATCTATCAAACCACGCACGTGTTTAAAAACTGAACTAAAACAGACGTGATTAGGGTTACCATCAGTCCGGATTAGTCCGGATGTGTCCGGACTTTGTCCGGATTTTTTAATTTACATTGCATATGAACATTAAAAGCACTTATTGATTTAATACCATACCATTGTAACTAAGTTAAATTCCTAAATGGTAACCCTAGACGTGATACATTCACTAGTACATTTGTATTAATCTAACTGAGCTTGCATTGCATTCGTATAAGTTTGTATTATTATTTTTGTAATTAAATTTGTAGGTACTAATATTAAGTAAATGAGCATTATGAAAATTAAGAGAAGTTATTTAACTCTATACAGTGTTTCAATCTAATCATTGCTTATTAAGTATTAATTTAATAGGTAACTGGGTTTAACCAGGTGGGTACCGCAGTAGAGCATCTGCATACTGATAGCTCGAGCAGACGTTTCATAAAATTGTAAGAGTTCCGCGCCAGTAAGTACTATAAAACCTCGGCAGAATTTCTCATTATGGCAATACTCAATCTATCTCCGTCGTATAGTAGCGCAAGAGAAAGACGGAATCAGAAACTCGGCTCGAAACCCTTCGCGATAACCGTCAGTGGTGGGCGGGCAGCGCGCGCATGCTGTGCCCGGTCGATACTACACCAGACTCCCATGTTTTTTATGTCGTTTCGCGTCACGAATTACTCAATAAAGAAGACTTCCAATTACTAAAAGCATTTCAACGACTAATATAAATGACGTACCGAAGGTTTGCAATGAACTTTACAATACTCATTATGTAATGGGCCAAGCGTCATGTACAGCAATACTAAAAAAGATGCTTTGTTTACCTTATAAACCGACAAGTTTTTTTGGCGGGAAACTTTGATGTGCATTATATAATTTAATTGAATTTGATTCTGTAATGATAATATTTCATTTTTTATTACAGATTTGTTTGGTGAGGAGTAAAAGAGTAAGGTACTTAAATAAAACTAGTTTTGACGGGTTAATGCACGAAACTTTATTTATTTATTGACGTTTCATAGCCTTTACAGGCTACGTCGTCAGAATTAAACTTTTATTTAATTTGTCGAGCTACCTTCGAAAGACTTTTATTGAGCGTTCGGTTATTTCATTGTTCGATTTTTAAAGTTTTATTGTCTATGTATGAATTTATTATTTAATTTACTTAATAAAGTATTTTATTTAAAATTCTTTTTTGTAATTTTGCGTTTATTTATTTGACCCTAACTACCGTAAACTACCACCGGTTCCAAAATTGGGAGACCTTTCTGAGAAGAACCGGCGAAACAAAGTCCAGAGAGGCTTTCTATCTCCTTCTTATGTTAAATTATGCAAACAAAAAGAGTAGTAAGGTACTTACTAATAATATTTAACAAGCAGACTGTTAAAGGGGTCCAATAATGTGAAGTAGACAGTTAATGGTTAAGTACCTGTAAGTTGTGATGTGGTTGGGTGAGGTGCAGCTGTTGCTGCTGTGACATGTGGAGGTGGTCGAGCGGCGGCGGGGTGGGACGCGGACGGTAGGCGGCGTAGCTGCGGTAGCGCGCCCAGTCCCCCCCCGCCGCCTGCTGGTGCTGCTCCGCCATATGCTTCAGCGTCTGCGCAGCAGGTGACATCTCTCCGCCGCCGTACGGCCTCGGCACCGGCTCCCCTTCCGGCGACTCCAAACCCATCCCACCGTTCAGTTTTCCACCGTCGAGATCGAAGTCTTTCAAAAACTCGGGGTAGCCTGATATTTCAGTAATGAGATCTTCGAAGGTGTCGTCTCCATCGTCTTCGCCCATCAGATCGGCTAGCACGGGAAAGGCGGAGGCGGCGTCCCGCTCCAGCGCTGCCGCGCATTCGTCTAGTCCGACGAACTCATCGTCGGCGACTTCGGATTTGCATTCGGCTTTGCACTCGCGTTCGCAGTCGAGCGGAGTAGGCACCCGCGGAGGTGGTTGTTGGGGCGGAGGCGAATTGGAGGTCTTCACCGCGTTAGCTAGCGCTTTCACAGTTACATTGGTGGATATCTGCTGCGGCTGCGAATCCGCCGCCGAAGTGGTAAACTCCAGCTGCTGCACGATCTCCACCGAGAATTTCGTAAGGGCCTCTCCTGATCCGGTAGCCGATCCACCACCGCCGCATTGCAACTTCGCTGGTGGTTCGTAATCTCCGCATCCAAACTTTTGTTGCTGTAACAAAAAAAAAGTGTTCTAAGATTTGTCTAATACGTTTTAGACTTAAAGTATAGTAGATTGTTATTATTCGGCTTGTGAAGAGAATTAAATAAATATTATTATTATTGTAAATGTTGCAGAAACAGTAAGGGTTAAATTGAAATAAGATACATAAAATGGCCAAATATATTTTTGTAGTAATTAAATAAACCGAACGAGCGTATCATCCATTATATGTAGGTATAATTATGCATATTCCAATGACATGACATCAGCACTCAGCAGTGTGTGGTATGGCGTGAATGACGGGAGTTAGACGCGCGCTGGCAATCTCCGGCTGGCAATCTGACTTAATCGATTGTCTTCAGAATGTTGTTGTATTTGCAAGACGAATGTAATGATAAAGTAAATATTATTTTTGAGCAATATTTTTTTCTGATCGCGATATTGTGAATGAATCAAATATGAATTTCGAAGAACGAAAATATTTAAACCGAAATTGGTCTTGCCATTAAATATTGTTACAAGGAAAAATCTATTTTTCCAATACATAAATCATTTACTTTTGTTTTGTGTGTGGGTTTTTACATTAATAGGTATAATGACATTAAAAATATATGTGAAACTTATTCAAAATTATCTCCATTGGCTTTAATACGGTCCTTTAAGCGTTGAGATCAGTTATCAATAGAAACACGTGAGAAAATTCTTCACTGCCAATCTTATGGATTGTTTTAGGGACTTAAGATTATCGTGGCGTCTAGAAAATGTCATACTCTCTAAAATTGATCATAAATCATAATCCAGCGGATTAAGGGACTAAATGACGGCCAAACTTTCGTTTCCAACCACGCTTGGGTGGATCTAGCTATATAGACCCAGTGCTGAATCTTGCTGAAAGAACTCTTTTTGATTATGAAACATAGTGTTGTTAAGAGCGAGCAATGTTATTTACTTAATCGCCATTTTGTTATCAAGAAAAGGACAACAATACAGCTCAGCAGTACGGACTCGGAAGCGTTTCGCTCGCTCTGCGTTGAAGCGTAGAGTTCTGTCTCGCTCGCTCGATTGAATGTTATTTACAGACGTGTGCGTGTGTGAGAGTTGCTTATGTAGTTAAGTCGAATTATATTTTCTTTGATGATAGTATGAGCGTACCGTATCTTCCCTTTTTGTTTTAATCTAAGGGTATTGCAAATAAGTTACCTGAATCAAGGGAATATTGTTTTTTTTTCTATTTATACCTTTTTATTATTTTCTTCCGATATTTCAAATGTACCTATCATAAATAACTGACATTAATTAGATATCTGAAGATTTTCAATAATATATAACTTTATAATCAAATAAGGGCTATATTTCACAGATTTGCCATATTTAATGCTTCTTGCAAAAGTTATTAATGACCTCATTTATATTAAAGGGCAAACTGGCAATGGCAGAGCCTATGGATACAGCAATAAATTTAGCTAAACGTAATGGTAATGGTCCTAATGACTACAACCAGGTTTAACGGTTTCAACGTATCTACCGCTGTATGGGGGAGTCGAGAACGAAATGGGAATATGTTGGTCACCTATCCAACTATCGGGCACGGCGAAGATGAATGAAAATTTTACTAACACACTTAGCACAGCGCTATCGAACTCCTTATTCGTTAGATGTAACCTTAAATTAAAACAAAAAGGGATGATACGGTACGCTCATACTAGCATCGAATAAAATATGCTCCGAATCAACTACATAAGCAATTCTCACGCACGCACACTTCTGTAAATAAAGATCAATAGAGCGAACGAAACATAACAGTACCCCTAGCACGAACCATTATCGAATTCGAATAGTTTGCAAACCGAAATGTCAATGCCAAATTTTGTATGGAAACTTGAACAGCAGCGGCACAAAGTACGTAACGAGAACTAAAAATCAGTACACATTTGACAATAACATTTCGGACAATAACTCGCAAACGATACGAATTCGATATTGGTTCGTGCTAGGGGTAGTACGCTTTAACGCATCGCGAGCGGAACGGCGAGTCCTCGTCGCTTGACATGGCGACTGCGTTTTTCTTTCTCTCTTTACAAACGGTTGAGCTATTTGATGTCCTTTTCTTGATAACAAATGGCAAAAAAGTAAATAACATTTATGACAAATCCTTATTTTTAAGAAAAAAAATGTTTCCATGGTTTTCCGAATGAAAAGTGTATTTATTATTTGATCTTGAACTATTTTTGTTCTTTAGAAAAGCATCGTAGGCATTGTTTTATCTTTATAATACAGATTATACGCAATATTGTTACATTGAGTGCACATGCAGCGTGTTTGAATGTTCAATTGTGACGAAAGCGAATTGTGGTCATGCACCACAATTTAAGCGGATCACTTTTGAGCAGCGAGTGCCGTATCTTCCCTCTTTGTTTTAATCTAAGGCTCTGACTCAACCACTTAAGCAACTCTCACATATGACTTCTGTAAATAAACATTCAATCGGGCGAGCGAGACTGAACTGTACGCTTCAACGCAGCGCGAGCGAAACGGCGAGGCCGCGTCGCTTGGCAACCGACTGCGTTTTCTTTTCTCTCTCTGCAAACGGCTGAGCTGTATTGTTGTCATTTTCTTGATAACAAATGGCGAATAAGTAAATAGGTAACATTCATGACAAACCGTGATTTAAGAGAAAAAATGTTTTTATAGTTTTACGAATGAAAAGTTTTGTTATTTGATCTTGAACTATTTGTGTTTATTTATAAAACCATCGAAGGTATTGCTTCATCTTTATAACACAGAACATACACAATATTGTTATATTGAGTGCACATGCAGCGTGTATGAATGTCAAAATGAGAACAAAGCTTATTTTTTTTTATAGATTTGTCCGACAAATTACTCCACCCCACCTGATGTTAAGTGAAGGTGAAGTCCAGACGCGAAGATAGCTGATACAGCAGTTCTACCTGCCACACAAGCCATCCTCACCCTGCCAGCATGCATGTTGCTTCTTCACGCCTCTTTTAATGGATCCCAGATTGTAAGAGTAATTATATTATAAGTAATTATTTATTTGACGACCTCCGTGGCCGAGTGGTTTATACGCCGAGTTTCATGGTGTAGCCGACTCGAGAGGTCCCGGGTTCGAATCCCGGTGGGGGCAGATGTTTGTGTGATGAATACGAGCATTTGTACTCCAGTCATGGATGTTTAATATGTATTTCTATATAAATTTATATACTTATATATGTACAATATATGTATTCTATCCGTTAACCTAGTATCCCATAACACAAGCCTTACAGTGCTTACTTTGGGGCTAGGCTAATTGGTGTGAGTGTTGGAAATATTTATTTATTTATTATTTATTAATTGTGGTCATGCACGCATAGAATATAAGCGGTACACTTTTAAGCCGCTATAGTGCCGTATCTCTTTTTGTTTTAATCCAAGGATGTAATTCCTTATTACACTTTATAAAGCAAGACATGATCTTTTTAATTGGCTTTAGTTTTGGCTCTTACTTAGACTTATATTATTATTAATTTAACTCTGTTTTCTTTATTTACCAAAGGCAGAATTTCATTGTTATTGACATAATATCGATATTAAGCAGGTCAACTTAAATATCATGGGCAACATTAATAGGTACAATGTATGTACCTCAGCCAGGTAGTCTTGCTCTACACAATAATAGATGTAGTGGAGATAAGGCTAGACCTTGGTAAATGATTTAATCACGTGTATCACGTGTTTGTTTTACCTACCTATAACCTACCAGCCATTTACACGTGTACCTCCTAGTTCCACAAACTAATATCTCCATATAATTCCCAGAAACCTTACACTCAGTGCCGTCTTTGACCTATTGGAGGCCCTGGGCATATTAGGATATTGGGGCCCCTATGACCCCCGTTTGGTGATCTAACAAGAACTAGGGAATTAGTATTTGTGATCTGAGGTGCCCACCTATCGATCACGGGGCCCTGGGCACTTGCCCAAAGTGTCCACTGGGAAAGACGGGTTTTTTCACTAAAAACTTATTATATACAAATTTCTAATATTTTATTATTTTGGCAATCAGAGCGAAATAAAATAATTCACCGATAATAATAAATAATAATCGAGTACTAATAAACTATATCGTAGATCACGATCAAGTTTTAAAGACATGATGTGATAAAGTTGTAAAATGTAAACAAGCACGCCGCTGCAAGAATCTCTTTGAAACGAAGCGAACACTAGAGTATCCGTTAATTATAATAATAATAATAACATAACATCCAGAAGACAATATCTGAAAAAATTAGTAAATACTTAGAACTCAAAGATGAAGTAACTAGAATATGGCGTCAACAAAAAGTTTACGTGGTCCCTATAGTCCTCTCCACAACAGGCGTCATTCCAAATCACCTTCTCCATAGCCTTAAATTAATAAATCTAAAAGAAACCCTCTATATCACCCTCCAAAAAGCTGCAATTTTAAATACATGTCGCATTGTCAGAAAGTTATTGCAAATAGATGAAAACGAAATAGGTTCTCATCACAATAGTACAACATAACCAAACACAACACATGCTGCACTTACTTGGTTTCGGGCCGTAATTGTAGTAAAAACCAGTCAAAGAGCTGAGAAGAAAAACACTCAACAAATAATAATATCATTTATTGTCAGACAACACAGATCCATACCTTATTTTTTTTTATGTACTATATAAAAATAAGTCGGGTTTTCCTTCCTGACGCTATAACTCCAGAACGCACGAACCGATTTCCACGGTTTTGCATTCGTTGGAAAGGTCTCGGGCTCCGTGAGGTTTATAGCAAAGAAAATTCAGGAAAAATTAAAAAAAAAACTTCTTTTAATCACCAAACGAAATGTTACATAAAACGAAGCCATCTGGTGGCGAAACGGAGTTCGCGGGGTTTGCTAGTGTAATATAATAATGAATATACGATGGATAAGGACTTAAATAAATGATAAGAAGTTTAATTAAGATTACTGACAATTATTATTATGATGACATTTTATTTTGAATTGTAATTTAAATTTAATATTTTACCGTTATTAATTTTATATTTGTATGCCTGTTGGCTGGTCGTAGTTGGACTGTATATTTAAGCATAATAACCATGTATTATCTATGTACCACAAATAAATAAATAAATGAAAATGACAAATGAAATATGTTAGTATACAAGTAATTAGTTAACCGACAAGCGAGAGCAATACTCCGTTTGGCTCGCCTCGAATAACCTTTACGAATCTCTAATAATGATTTACCATTGAATCGAGTTTCGGTGTAAACTAGTTATTATGTCGAATCGAGCATAGTTGTAAAATGTGTCAGAAAACAGCTCAGCGGTTCGGAGGTCGTCTCGGTGAACGGCGCGAGACAATGTGAGGCGTTTGTTGTGAAACTTGCGCAGTTTACACAATCGTAGCCCGCCCTATCGCTTGCAGTACGCGCAGCGGTCCACTCTGCAATGCTGATGTGCCCCTGGGCTAATTCATTTACAAACTTAGTCTAATACACTTTTCATTTCTATTTGTCGAAGAAATGATGTAAGTATGCATTTATGCAGATTCTAGAAGTAGTCGTTCTCGGTATATCTAAAAAAATATAAGTACATGGCTATAATATGTGTTGTGTTCTGATGAAATGGTAAAGATTTTGTAGATTTTTTAAAAAGAAAGACATTCTGTATGAATATTAAATTGAAATGTTAGAGAAGGCGTGCATCTAAAAACAGAATGATCTACCGTCCGATTTCATTGGTTCCGATCCGATATCAGAAGAAATCGGAGACTGTGGTGTGTAAAAAATAAAATAAGGTCAGTCAGACTGATAGGATCGCAGCAGAAAATGTAAACCGTGTATTACCTATTCATGCCCAAGTGATTATAGTATACGTATAGCTACGTCTCTGCTATTGTTCTGAGTTCTAATTACAATTCAAATCAATAGGCTTAACATTAACAGCAAACGTGTTGGTTCTTATGTGGGTATCTGTAGCTAATTCACGGCAGCCCTAATCATGAGCACGGGATGTCGATGCCAGAGGGTCAAGTCAATTGACGTCGAGTGACATCCGGTACTGTGACTCGACGCGTTAGTACCACGTGTGTAACAATTATATTCCACAATCACACTTAATTGTTCATTACTATTTTTATAAATCTAAATAAATAAATGTCTGCTGACGATACCGATCAATTAGTTATTTTTAAAAGCTACCGACTGCTTTCGTTCTAGGATTGCCAGATGTCCGGTATTTAAGCGAACAGTCCGGTATTTTCGAGGCCTGTCGATTTTGAGGAAAGTCGGTACGAAGACACCCCCCCCCCCCCCTCTTGGGATTGTCAGGTATATTTTCGCGACTCACCTGGCAACCCTATTTCGTACGTACCATTGCCCGCCCTAAAATTAAATGGCTTTAACTTATAAATGAGATGAAAATTCAACATTGTGTCCATTACTGTATTACTACAGTTCGGACAGCTCTTGAATCATTTACATCACATTGACTCCGAACTTCAATAACTAAATCATACACCACAGTTTCTACACTGGGCACGACTTAGACATTGTCAAATACACTATTAGAGACAACACTTATCATATAAATAATGCCAGTTTTTTTTTAATTTATGAGATTCGAAAATCTTTATTACATTGACTCCGAACTTCAATAACTAAGTCATACACCACAGTTTTTACACTGGGCACGACTTAGACATTGTCAAATTCACTATTACAGACAACACTTATCATATAAATAATGCCAGTTTTTTTTTTAAATTTTAATTTATAAGATCCGAAAATCTAGATTTTTACTATACCTAATTAAGAAAACATACCTTTATTGAACTTTGGCTGGCTTTAGCATTTGTTGTCCGCCAGGCAAATTTTTATTTAATGAGTAGGTAAATTAATAAAAGCGTTGATAAGAAAAAGTATTACGGTAAGATTAACAAGGACATAGTAACATAGCCAATCAAATTGCGCATAATATTGTTACAAATACGTAGTAGAACAAAATCACATTGATAACAATGATCATTTGAACGCTGTGTTTATACGCGGCATCTCTAGTACGGTACGAGTTTTAATAGCAAAGTCTATGAACGTCTCGTATTGTTCCTATTAATTTAACAGCAGTTCCTTCAGCTGAAGGATATATGCTCTCGTACTCCAACTGCTCCGAAGAAACTGGTTTCGAAGCGCTTGGATACGTCATATCATAATGTCTTGAATTATTTATTTTTTAATCTGATTTGATAGACGATTATTATGTTTTATAATAACTGTACAAGTACTTGAATACGTTTCTTTATTTATCATTAGGTATAAGTTAATCATTCACAGAAAGGGAAAGAGGAGCTCAATGGCGCATGTGGTTAGCGCGTTCGGGTGCGATCGTTGAATAGTACAGTCAAACTGTCGAAAAAAAAAATCGTTTCAGTGAAAAAAAAACCTAAAGGGTAAGTCTTGTTTTTTCTGTTGCCAAATGACGTCAGTAAGCCACCTTGGCGATAGGCATGTTCAACTCGTAGGCGTTTTTTGAAAAACTCAAAAAATCTTCAAAAAATTTTTGAAACGCATTTTTCTTGTTTTGTATGCATTTTAGAAACTTTTTTTTTCGACCATTATTGTAGAGGGCGTTGAGTACTACAATTTATGTCATTGTTGCAATCTCGTACAACAAAAAATGCGCATTATAGGTGGCGCTAAAGTCTCAAAAAAAGCTTTCTTTCAGTTTTCACCCTGAAAATATCATTTTAATGGAAAACTTTAAATGGCAAAGTTGTTTCGTACATAATTACCAACAACTTTTGTATAAACAATTTTTTTGTATTACTTACCGTTTTCAAGTTATAAATTGCGCAGGTATGAAAAATCCAATAGAGCGGTTTTGGGCAGTTCAAGTACACATTTGCAGTTCACATCTCAATGTACGTTTTACTATTTTTTATGTTTTCATGATTGAAAAACAAAAAAAAAATAGTAAAACATGAAAATAAAATAAATTTTTTTTCTTTATTTTTTTCATGATTGAAAAAAAAAATAGTAAAAACGTACATTGAAGTGCACTGCAAATGTGTACTTAAACTGCCCAAAACCGCTCTATTTGATTTTTCATACCTGCGCAATTTATAACTTGAAAACGGTAAGTAATACAAAAAAATTGTTTATACAAAAGTTGTTGGTAATTATGTACGGAACAACTTTTCCATTTAAAGTTTTCCATTAAAATGATATTTTCAGCGTGAAAAAGTGAAAAAACACTTTTTTTGAGACTTTAGCGCCACCTACAATGTGCATTTTTTGTTGTACGAGATTGCAACAATAATATAAATTGTAGTACTTAACGCCCTCTACAATTATAGTCTAAAAAAAAGTTTCTAAAATGCATAGAAAACAAGAAAAATGCGTTTCAAAAATTTTTTGACGGTTTTTTGAGTTTTTCAAAAAACGCCTACGAGTTGAACATGCCCATCGCCAAGGTGGCTTACTGACGTCATTTAGCAACAGAAAAAACAAGACTTACCCTTTAGGTTTTTTTTTCACCACTCAACCTACAGATTGACTGTACGTTAAGCAACTTTCGCAGTGGTCGGTCATTGGATGGGTGACCAATAATCTTTTATCTCGGTTCCTCCGTGCTTCGGAAGGCACGTTAAGCACCATTGATCCCGGCTGCACTTGCAGTCGTTAGCGCATGGTGGGTCATGGCCCAATCTCCCTATTACATTCATAGGGAAGGCCTGTGCCCCAGTACTGGGGACATTAATAGGCTGATGATGATGATAGGTTAATTTCATTGGTTGATTGATACAATTGTTATGGTCGGTACTCAGACACATCAATTAAGGCACGTGCTATCTAAATCTATTATTATCGTAAAGAAGAGCAAGATCAACTTCAATCAAAATTAAAAGTTTATTTACGAATCTGGTATGAGCGTAATTATTGTTTAATAAATTACCACAGGTAGCAGGTTAGCGGCAAACGCTAAGCTTGAATTAACATCATGGACAAAAACAATGGACATGAACTATTTAGTTGGTAGTGATGTAAAACATTCGCAAGCAAGGCCGAAGAAGCGCGACGTGACGGGCGAGTGTTTGATCAATGCACGGAGGCTCACGGAGCCAACGTGCGGCGGATGGAGAGAAGGTGCGCGCCCGCGACAATCGTCCGCTGCACCAAACAAACGCTCTCTGCTCTATCTGCGCGACTGTAACACGCTCGTGTTGCTCATTGTACGTGCACACAAATTCGCTTTCACCTTCTACGGACAAGGCAATCCTATCGAAATATTATGTAAAGGAAAAGTAACGTCGCGTACTGGTGTAAGCTATCTTTGCAGTTATTGTTTTTAACAATGACGCACCAGTTCGGAATTAATAACAAAGCATACATTGCTATAAGACTAACAAAACATATAGACGGGCTAAACATTACTACGCATGATCATTGATCATAGATAGAATACTAAAAGGCCCACTTACGCCAAAGTTCTTTAATGAAATTAAAAACAAAATTATGTTTAAGCCTCATACCACCTGTTTTCAATTCAAATACTTGACTTAAGTATGTAGATAGGTACTAAAATAGTTTTGGGAAGGATGACTTACCACATGCACGCTGCTATGCACCCCACTGATGGCGGGTAAGTCGGGCTTGCGCTCGGTCTTCTTCGCTTGTCGTTTGGCCTTGCCCTCAAGGTACCGCTTTTGCAGCGCACTTGTCTCCAGGTTTTGCTGTTCACAGGCGCCAGTGAATGACTGGTCGAACCGAGGTACGCACTCAGATTGCCGACGTCGGTAGGTCTCTATTCTCCGGCTGTAACAAAATACATCAAATTATCAAACTATTACCCATGTAAAACATCTATTGGAGCAGGTGTGAGAAAACCTAAATTTGCTGAATTGGTCCAGCCATTCTCCAGTTTTGCGCTTACCAAGATCATTTTTTATTTATATAGATAGATTTGTTAGAGTTTTTTTTATTAAAAAAAAATGTTACTCCTTTGTCAGGTGTTCCACGACGATCCTTCTTGTTGTGTGCTCTTATGGCATCCCGTTTTACTTGGTTGATAGCTGACAAACATTCAATCATCCTAAGAATCAACTGGAGAACATGTTCGAATAATTACAAACATAATCGTCAAGAAAACATCATGTTAACTTCATTAGATCGAAAAGGAATATGTACAATAATTTCGAAGACAATGCAATGATCATGTTTAAAAGTGTAACAATCGAACTCGGAATTGCTAAATGAATTCAACAAATAAACAGTATGGCCAACAAACGTTACAAACGATGTTCAGTCAGCCGCAACTCCGAGTGCGGTCACCTTGAGCAAATGTTAATGCGGACACTCCGTCTGCCACAAAAAAATCATTACTACAAGCTCATTCCCTACCGATGAAATGCCCAAGGTTATTGTCAACTGCCTTAACCTAGCCTTCCAAATCACAAAAGAAGAAAACCGATTCAAAAATCATCATTAAATATTAAACATACTCAGGAGCAAAATTAAGGGCAGTTCCACCAACTGTAATAAATATACCAATATAAGAATAATACAGTTTTGGTTGGAACGTCATATTTGTCAACTAGGTAAGTATTTATTTGAAATTGGAGAGAAACTTGGAGTCGTCAATCAAATTTAATGCTTGCTAAAATGGTATGTTGTATTATTCTATTGCTATTGCAAGGAAAGTTTCATCTACTTTAAAAATAATGTTTCTTTCATTTTATTTAAGAATGCGATTTGATGCGATACTGACTTACTACGGCGCACCCTCAGACGCCATTAAAATGAAACCACACATGAAAAAATATTGAAAACAAGCAACCTCGTTCGATGATGATAAAATAAAACCTAAAAGTAAAATAGGTCTAGATACCTATTTTATCTACTAAAGCATTAAAAATGTAACGATTATGTTTAAAACGGGTCTTACTTTTCACATAGAACTTTTCATTTCATAATATTATTTATGCATATCAGTGGGTGGCATCAACTTCATTTCGCAGAAAGCATTTGGCATTCCCTTATTTAACAGACATTTAAATCCATTATTTTGTAAGCCAGAATCATCTGCAAGGGCGGATCCAGAGGGGCGGTCATGGGGGTCATGACCCCCCCCCCCCCCCCCCGGCTGGGTCCATTTGTACCCACTTCACAATCTGTACCCACTTTGACTTGACCACGACTATATGACCTGGCGCCAAAGCTGGATCCGCCCTTGATCATCTGTAGGCATAAATTAAATATCCACAATAATTAAAAAGTTGAACCATCATAATATGGCAAAAGTTCACAGGAAGAAACGTCTTTTAGCATACAAATATTTAACTTATCTTTCTTATCAATTATTTAAGGTGGCTTTCGTCGGCCACAGCCACGGCACGCTTGCTTCGCTCGCTTAGGCTAAATTTAGGTCACCACGCCAACCTAACCTATCCCACTGACCACTATTATGCTTCAAGAAGTTATGTATAATATTTTTTTTACATTTCAACAAAAAAATATCCAATTTGGTTCAGTCGTTCGGAAGGTATGCGCGTACATACTTTTCAGGTTTCATTTTTATAAATTACTAGCAGAACCGGCGAACTTCGTACCGCCTTAAAAATAGGGGTTGGTGATAGAAGGGTGAAAAGGACATTGCAACGCACCGCAATGAGAAAATGCTAGTCGTGTTCCGAATCATTCATAATAAACTCTCATCAGGCATTTGTTGAAATACGGACAACTTGAGAAACCGTAGCCTACTACAGAATGTATGTATGTATTTAGATATTGTGGTTACAATCTGTGCGGAAAGAGAATCAGTGTGACCAGATTCAGTATATTTTATCGATTTTTCCGAACATCAGTATATTTTCAGGTATATTGCTGGCAGTCAGTATTTTTGGGTATATTTTGGTAGAAGTTATGGCAACACCGTAGTGAGTGATCGTCTTTGTTTGCGGAATTCCCCGGAACGCGAACATTGAGGACTTTCCCGGATTTAGTTTACCTATACTTATACATGTTATCTATGAGCAAAGATGAGTAAGTTACAGATATGACAAGAAAGACAGCCGATGTCGGCGTTGTAGTATTGTAATACTAAATATACAATTATCAATCAATACATAATATTAATCAGACTTGCAGAATGTATGTTCGCCTAAAACTTTACAACTGCTGGACCGATTTTAATGCGGTTTGCACTATTAGATAGAGCGTGAAGAAATGAAGGAGGTTGTGTAAATTTTAATCCTTCGAAAAGGATGTTAAAATATAACTCTAACATTTATTGTGAGTATGAATAAATAAAACGTGTTAAGAAAATCAGTATTTTTATTGGTATATCTGTCCTATGTAAGTCGGTATATTTCAGTATTTTTTTGAGGTGCCTCGGTATTTTCGTAAAATTTAATCTGGTCACACTGAAGAGAATGGGCGTGGCGAAAAACGGAACTAACATTAAGATTTTTATTTGGCAATCAAACCCAGCCATCTGTAAAACGTCAAAGTTTTGTATTGATACGGATCTGTTTGTTGTTGTGATTTCTTGCGGTTTTTTGTATTTAATCATGTCTAAAAGGGGTAAAACCTTACAAATACGGTAGAAAAGCACTACAGCGCCCTCCAATCTAAATCCCATTCTCTTTCCGCGCAGACTCTATAATAATTATACTTAATCGTAAAGCTGTACACTTTATATATTCTGAATTTTATTTATTGTTTCTCTCTATGTAAGCACTTAAATAATATGAATTAAATAAACATAAAATTCAATTAGTAATAAAAATAATAAATGCTCACATTCATATTGATTTACTAGCGGCCCGCCCTCGCTTCGCTTCGGTGTAGAGCTGAAGTGTACACTATAGTTTTTTTTCTCAGGCTTGTATTAAACACAATGGCATTCATCTATGATTCTTCTTATACCTGCATGCAAAGTCTCATCCCGATTGGTTTAAAATTGACAAAGTTTCATACAAACTTTCATTCCCTATTTTATCCCCTTGGGGGTAGAATTGATCAAAATCCTTTCTTAGCGGATGCCTACGTCATAACATCTACCTGCATGCCAAATTTCAGCCCGATTCATCCAGTGGTTTGGGCTGTGCGTTGATAGATCACTATGTCAGTCAGTCCCCTTTGACTTTTATATACATACTAGCTGACCCAGCGAACTTCGTACCGCCCTAAAAAAATAGGGGTTGTCCAGCGGACAAAATTGTGAATCTAAACCATTCTCAGATCCCCTTGAACACACACAAAAAAATTCATCAAAATCGGTCCAGTCGTTTAAGAGAAGTTCAGTGACATACACACTCACAGAAGAATTATATATATAAAGATATAGATAAAAACGGTCATTTTTATTTCCTGTATTTATAATCAAACTAAAATTCTCATATTTACGTTATATAATCGGAATGCTCCGAACTGCTAAGCTATCAGGAGTTACACGTGTTATTGTGAGTCAACCATAAAAGATAGACTATGCTGTTGCGGGATATTTTTTAAGACAATTTTATGTAGAATATTTCCGTCATCCATAATTTCTATGTAACTTTAACCATTAAGGCTGCACACGCGACGGAAGCTGAAAAAATGGAGTAACTTCTCCCGTTTTCCCAACATTTCCCTTCACTACTCTGCTCCTATTGATTGTAGCGTGATGAAAAGTATACTATAACCTGCCCAGGAGTATGAAGAATAATTGTACCAAGTTTCGTTAAAATCCGTCGAGTAGTTTTTGTTTCTATAAGGAACATACACACAGACAGACAGACAGACAAAATTTTTACTGATTGCATTTTTGGCATCAGTATCGATCACTTATCACCCCCCGATAGTTATTTTGAAACTATATTTCATGTACAGAATTGACCTCTCTACAGATTTATTATAAGTATAGATATAGATGAGTGTTGGCAGTTGGCACATTATGATACCTACACCTACCTGTTTAGTTTGAAATGTTTAAAGGCTTTCCATTTAACTGTTTCCATATTTTATTATTGGTAATTAGGTATGTACCTGGTTATCATTATGATTTTCATAAAAAAAAACAGATATTATATGTATGTTGCGATGGGAGTATAAACTGTCTTTACATAATTTTAGTAATTATTTACCTATAAATATAATATAAATACTAGTGATAAGTATTATTAACTAAGGAGGGTAGGAACCCAGTTCTATTCTAATATTGATAAATACCTATGGTCGCGTATATAGCAGAATTTAATAATAAAAAAAAACACTTTTTTTTAAATCATTTTTTGAATCTCATTGGCGGGAGACGTGGTGCGGGGCTACTACAAACATGCGCCAATTTCCCTCACCATTAAAGATACATGCCGCGACTTGTAATGCCATTTTGTCTCGACTGACTTTGATTACCGTTTGATAACTGATTAATGGTTACCTACTTAGAAGATTAATAATACAATGATAAAAACTGCAATGTAATAAATCCAATACTACGTAGACAAGACATAGACTTATTTACTTCCCTTTGACTATGACAGTTGGCGTTAGGGTTGCCACCTTTTTTTTGTCCAAATAAAGTACATTAAATATTATATGGCAGAAAAAAAGTACATTGTGTCCAAAATAACGTACTTTTTATTCCACTTTAATAGTAAGCTAAAACAAATATTTTACGTTGCTTTGAGCAACTTTTAATAAATAATTTGGGCCTACTAAGAATCTGTAGTTATTTTTCGCAATGGGAAAAGTCATGGTACACAGCCATATAGCCACGAAAACGTTGCAGGAATGCTCATAACATATTCTACATACTGTCGGTCCGTTTTACGAAA